GGGAAGGAGTGTCAGGAAAGCTGTCTGGCAGAAGAGGACCTGGGGATGCTGCTGGTGGACAGCTGGCTCAGCATGAGCCAGCAGTGTGCCCAGGTGGCCAAGAAGGCCAGCAGCATCAAAACTAGTGGGTCCGACAGGAGTAGGGCAGGGATCATGGAGGAACATTGAGGAAGACCTTGAGGTGCTGAAGCAGGTCCAGAGAAGGGCAGTGAAGCTGATGAGGGGCCTGGGGACCATGTCTTATGAGGAGCTGTTGAGGGACCTGGGGTTTTTTTTTAGTCTGAAGAAGAGAAGGCTGAGGGGAAACCTAGCTCTCTCCAGCTTCCTGAAAGGAGGTTGGAGTGAGGTTGGTATTGGTCTCTTCTCCCAGGTAACCAGCGATAGGACAAGAGGCACTGGGTGAAGTTGCACCAGGAGAGGTTTTAATTGGGTATTCAGAAGAATTTTTTTCTTGAAAGAGCGGTGAGGCATTGGAGCAGGCTGCCCAGGGTGGTGGTGGAGTCACCATCCCTGAAGGAGTTCAAAAAAATATGGAGTTGAAGAAGAAATTTTAGACATGGTACCTGGGGACATGGTTTAGTGGTCATGGTAGTGTTGGGTTGACTGTTGAACTTGATGATCTTGAGGTCTTTTCCAACCTTAATGATTCTGTAGAAGTTGATCTCTAGACTCTTCTTGCGGATTCCCTTAGTGTTCCAAGTTTATTGTCTGCTGACCAGAAGTGTAGACTGCTGTTAAGTTCTCAGAGGTGTACGGAGATTTCTGTTACAGTGGCTGTGCTCAAAGTACTCTGTTATCAAGTTTACCTCTTTTTTTATTCCTCAACTTTTTTTCTCACTACTTTTGGAAGAGATCCCTTATTACTGCATATATAAAATGGAATTGTTTGTGTATGGGAGTTGGAGTCATTGTGCTGGCTTTGATGCAGTTAAACATTTGATTTGTGTCCATTTAATGTTATTTTAGAAATTTCACCTGCTTTACAAATGTTTCCATAACTCACATAATCAGATATTTATCCAAACATAATTGCTATGGGTTTTCCTGCGGAGAGACTTGAAGGAGTATACCGGAACAACATCGATGACGTAGTAAGGTAAGGCTTTATTTTTCTTTTCCTTAATTCTTAAGTATTCTTTTCTGCATTTATTTTCTTCTGAGGGAAGGATGTGTGTTCTGACTCATAGCAATGTTTTGCATCTCGTAGATGTTGCCATATTAGCTTTCTTGAAAAATGTTGGGAACAACGGAAGTGATATTTTCAAGGATCTTGGGTCAGGCTGCTGCTCTGAGTTGATCTCAAATGCATGGAATCTGCTTTTCGGTGTGAAAAATTGATTTCAGTAAACTGTTAGAGTAAAAGGAGTTTCTTAGCTTTTACAAAGATCTCATCCATGCCTCTGCTCAGTGTTGTTTCCTCATTTAACAGGTGGCATTTTGTAATATATTTGCCAGTATCCTTCAGTCAATAAATGAAGTGCTTGATAATTTAATTTTTATTAAAAGTAGTAAATATAGGTGACTTCAGATAAAGTGTTTTGTATCTGTGTTCAGTAATTGTGGGTGAGAAGAAAAATCAGCGAAAATTCATTACTGCTAGTGGTGCTTTATGGCACATCTTATAAAAAACCCTACAGGTTGTAATATTTAACATCAAATCAAGTTACCTACTCTAAACTGCTGCATACAACCACAGAAGGTGTACTTAGAGCTTTATGAGCATTGTTGCCATTTGTTACCACTCTACCTGGAAAATGTAGCGTGAGAGGTTGTGTTAAAAACAAAGTTGGTGAATGGAGTTAAAGCCAGTTGGTGGCCGGTCACGAGCAGTGTTCCCTGGGTCCTTGTTTTGGGGCCAGTCTTCTTTAATATCTCCATCAATGGATGAAGGGACTCAATGGATGATTCAAATGAATGGATGCGGGAGATGAGTGCACCCTCATTGAGTTTGCAGGTGACACCAAACTGCTGGGAGTATTGATCTGCTTGAGGATTGTGAGGCTCTGCAGAGGGATCTGGCCAGGCTGGATCGATGGGCTGAGGTCAGCTGTATGAGGTCGAGTGCCAGGCCCTGCACTTGGGTCACAACAACCCCAGGCAACGCTCCAGGCTTGGAAGAGTGGCAGGAAGGCTGCCTGGCAGGAAAGGACCAGGGGTTGCTGTTGGTGGACTTCTGGCTCAGCATGAGCCAGCAGTGTGCCCAGGTGGTTAAGAAGGCCTCCAGCATCATGGTGTGTATCAAAGAGAGTGTGTCAAACAGGAGTAGGGCAGGGATCGTGCCCCTGGACTAGGCATTGGGGAGGCCACAGCTTAAGTCCTGGGTTCAGTTTTGGGCACCACAGTATAAGGAAGACTTCGAGGTGCTGGATCAGGTCCAGAGAAGGGGTCTGGGAAACATCTCTTGTGAGGAGAGATTGAGGGACCTAGAATTTTTTAGTCTGAAGAAGAGAAGGCTGAGGGGAGACCTAGCACTCTCCAACTTCCTGAAAGGAGGTTGGAGTGAGGTTGGTGTTGATCTCTTCTCCCAAGGAACTAGTGATAGGATGAGAGGCAATGGGCTGAAGTTGTATCAGGGGAGGTTTCAATTTGGTATTTGGAAAAATTTCTTTCCTGCAAGTGGTGAGGCATTGGAGCAGGCTGCCCAGGGAGGTGGTGGAGTCCCCATCCCTGAGGTGTTGAAAAAATGTATAGAGGTGGTACATCATGACATGGTTTACTGGTCATGATACTGTTGGGTTGACTGTTGGACTTGGTGATCTTGAGGTCTTCTCCAACCTTAATGACTCTATGATTCAATGAAATAACTGGCAGAAACTGCTAAATGTCACTGTGTTTAGGATTCCAATTTCTGATTTTAAATTTTTTTTTTTTTTAATGTTTTGAGTGCGGCTCATAGGTTTGAGATGCTACAGTTTCTTGTAATCGCTGGCAGGCAGAATTAGCACTGGTAGAATTTTGCTGATAATTGTTTGCATCCAGATTTGTGCAGAAATGAGTGGAGACAGCTCCTTGGTTCCCAAACTGGGAGGGAGGAATCGTGACCCTCACCTGAGAGTCGGGCGTCTGGAGGCAGTGACTTCCCGTGCAGCTGCACTTGCCTTTGGAGGAGATCAGGGGGTTTCTGTTCTGTGTGTTTAACCCTGCTGGTGAGGCTCCCTATCTACAAAAAGCTCTGAGAATGTCCGGCTGGATTTGACCAGGCCTGCAGAAATGAACTTGCTCTGGTAGTGAGAAGTCACTTTTCCAGAGCTGAGATTCAGCATAGCAATTGGTAAATACCCTTGCAGAGCATTTCCACCTCTGCTAGAATTGTTAACAGAGATGTGTTTTCTAATAGTATCATTGCACACAGTGTGCAAACAACGACAAGATTTTGCTGTGCTTTTGGGACAGTTGAGGGTTGTCACTCAAACTATCTAGTGAAGTTTACCAGCAGTCAGAGCCACCTTTTCCTGAAGCTGATGTGTGCATTGTATCTGCCGTGTGAAATATGTGGTCCCTGATGGACTCCGTCTTTGGAAATCGTAAGATAAGGGCAAAGGCTTGGAACAGATTACATGGGAATAATCCAAATAAATAATTGGCAGTAGTCTTTGAAGGCCCGCTTCCATTCACAGCATTGGTTTCAGTTGCTTCTTCATGAAGGGTCTAGAGCACAAGTCTTGTGAGGAGCGGCTGAGGGACCTGGGGTGTTGAGCCTGGAGAAAAGGAGGATCAGGGACACCTTCTGGCTCTTGACAGCTTCCTGAAAGGAAGGGTGGGGAGGTAGGTGCCAGTCTCTTCTCCCAAGTAACAAGTGACAGGAAAAGGGGAAACAGCCTCAAGTTGCACCAGTGGTGGCTTACGTTGGAGCTGACGAAAAGTGTCTTCCCCAAAAGGGTTGTTAAGGCCTGGCCCAGGCTGCCCAGGGCAGTGGTGGAGTCCCCATCCTTGGAGGGATTTAAAAGCTGTGTAGATGTGGTGCTGAGGGACATGGTTTAGTGGTGCCCTGGAAGTACTGGGTTACCGTTTGGACTTGATGGTCTTCAAGGTCTTTTCCAACCAAATGACTGTGATTCTGTGAAGGGAAATATATTTATTGATTAAGTGTGTAGATCTGTGTAAATCAGACTTCTGAAAGGAAGTGACTGTATAATTAAGTTGTCCATAAACAATCATAGAAAGGAGTAGTGGTCACCTAAAAGTATCCTCAACCAGATTAAGATACAGAGAGATGGAAGTTAAGTCACTATAGGAAACTGGCTGCTCAGGTAGTGCTGTGTTTGTTTAAATGAGAGTAGTGCACAAAATGGGGTCATGCAGCGTTCTGCAGGTTGCAGTCAGCAGGTCCTCATCTGCTCCTGTCATCTTTTTAGTGTGGAACGTTTTTCTGAGAGCTTTTTATGCAGAAATTCAATGTGTTTGAGCTCCGGATATGCCAGTGAGTAGCTGGTGTCGTGACAAATGTGATGCCAAATAATGCTGTGTGAGAAGTCCAGCATGGACTGTTGGTTGTCTCGTCTCCTACAACTGGAGCTTTTTGAAGGGTTTTGGGTGGAAAAATACCTTAGAAAAATACCCTTAGAAAAATATTTGTGTGAGAACTTACGCTCAGCTTTGTGGATGCTACTGGCAGAAGCAGAGTCTGCTCTCCTTGCTCTCCACTGTGTTTTAAACAAGTGGGGACATCTCCTGAAGCAACCCACCATATCCACCATCTTCCTTCACCTCTCCAAGCCTGCCAACAGGGGTGCCAGTGGGAGTCGGGGAGGGTTTGTGCCTCTGAAATTGGATTCTCATGCTCAATGCTGCACGAGGAGCATTCACATCTGTTCTTATTTTAACGCATCAGTTTAACCACAGAGTTCTTCTAGGTTCTTCTGGAATATTATGACTGATAACCAGAGCTTGTTTTTGCTTGAGCTTTCCAGGATTTTAACAGCTAGTGTTTCTTTTCAATTTGAACAGCATGTTCTGTCATGGCTAATTAAATTCCTTCTGGCTGATGTGCAGATACACACTGTTGATGATGTTAAGTGTAAACATTTGTATGTTATTTCTTCTTGAACATTGCCAGGTGACACATCATATATAATCGCGGCAAATTTGATGAATCATGTTTGCAGCTTGGCTCTCCCAGGCTTGTATGGGAAGTTTTTGTTACAAAGTGAGCATGAAAATGAAATGAGTGTGGAAAAAACCCGTAGCAGTCTTCCTCGTCTTTTCTGAACCTAGAATATCACTGGGCACTGCCCTCAGACTTCAGTTGCAAATAATGGCCATTTTTAAAAAAATGGTGTTCACATCAATGATTCTGGCTGTTCTAACTGGAATATAAAAGTTAACTGCTTTTTTTTCCACTGGAAATAGCACTGTGGCAAAATATTTTGCATAGGTGATTAAATTGGAAGCATGTGCAGATACCTTATGTCATCAGTGCTTCCTACTTTAAAAATGAACAACCCTTCCTCAGCTTTATGTATTTACGTGCAGGTAGCTTAGAAATTGGCACTGATTTGTCTATACAATGAATATTTCAGTTGCAGGTCAGACCTTGGTTTCCTCAGTTGCACAAGTAGTCCTACTCATACCACTGGATGATTTGTGAGAGCGAGGTTTGCAACACTCTTCATCCTTGACTTTGAGGCACTGAAGGGTCACCTGGGGCTTGGGATGGAGAACTATACATGCTGGGCAGTGCTTTAATGATGCTGCAAATTAAGGTCAACATTATTACAGTGTACATTAATATGTCCTTATTTTTTTTTTTCCTACTTAAGGTTTTTGGATTCAAAGCATAAAAACCATTACAAGATATACAATCTGTAAGTATGCTCTTATAGATGTATTTTCCAAAATAATAAGTTCTAAAAATGAGTTCTTTCACTTACAAGTTAAAGTGGCTTGTTTCTATACTGAAGCAGAGCTAGAGATGTTTTGCACATTTCTTAAAACAATTAAGGCTGATTGAGAGCACTGTTACTTCATTTAGTGGAGCTGAGTGAGGTTAAATGAAATGCTGGTGTGTATTCATATTACTTGAACGCTTTTAAATGACTTGGCATCTAGCCCATCTGGAGCTTGTACCATGTGATTAAAAAGTGAAAAGTAATTCACAGCAGGCTTTCTGTTAATGTATTAGTGTCCACAGTGAAAAAAATCACCAAATGAATATTTTCCTGTTTTTTTTTTTTCCTGTATTGGTACCCAGGTTGTTTGCTTCCTCACTCTTCTTGACTGTCCCTGTTTATTGAGCTTGCAGCAGTTGGTAGTGTAATGGTTTCTCACTTTTTTTAAGTGTAATGTTTTACTCTGAAAATTTACTTATGCAGAAAGCTGGTCTTGATACAGAAAGAATTTTTTTATTGTTGTTGTTCCTGGATCATCTTCATGTGTTAGCTTAGGCTAATTTCATTTGTAGAAATGATTTGGTGCTGTCAGCTGATGTTGAAAAGTAGGTCATGGTTTTCCTACCCTTCATTTTTTTTTCCCAGAAATCTAAGTGGAAGATTTATTGATTCTCAGAGCTTTTGAGGCTTTATTTTATTTTTTTAAATGAGTGTTTCTGATATCTCCAATTCACAGAAGAATTATTGTAGTATGGAAACCTAGCCAATGCATTACATTGTAATTTGTCAGTCATTAAAAATAAGTATTTAAGTATGCCTCTGAATTAGTTGACGAATTATGCGTTAAGCAGTTCTGTTTTTTAGTGTTCGAGCAAAACGATACTAGAAGCTGAGAAATTCTGTACTGGTTATTGAAGTCTGTAAAGCCTGGGCTACAATGGGACAGAAAAAGATATGTAAATAGAACATGCTTAAAAAAAAAAAAAAACACCTCATTGGACACCTTTCATACAGTTCAGTAACAAAATTCTTCTCTCCAGCTTAGAAGCTCTCCAGAATGTCAGCCTTTTAATAAATGCTGTCTTAGTGGCACTTCTGGGTGCAAAGGACAGTGCCTCCTAGAATAGCTGATAGCTTCTTCTATGTGTAGGTGCAGCTCCTGGAGCAGGTGGCTTTCTGGATGACTTCCTTTAAGGTCTTTCGGAGCTCAGCACTACAGATCAGTATCATGTGAAATCTGACTTCTGTGGTTTTATTAGACCCCCTTGAAGACAGCTTCTGCTCAGTTTTGGGGAGCAAGGCAGAACAGGACAGATAGAACTTAATTTCCTCCTGCTTCATGGGGCTGAGCTCAGCTGCCGGGTTCTGTGAAGTGTGTTTCTGGTGTTGCTCACAGGGTCAGGGTTTGCTGAGCCACCTGACAGCGACCTTCTCATTTCAAATTGGCTTGGGAAGTGACAGGTGAAAACATGAGGTTGCTGTGCATAAAATTCTAGGCTGGGTCACAAAGTAAGAGTTTAGAAAGATTTCTGTGCATCTTAGGAAGTAGCTGCTCAGGGAGGTGGTACTTGAAAAGTTTCCACTTTGCCGTATGTGAGCAACCACATTTTACCTCAGAAAAAAGCAAAAACCAATCCCTGAACCCTACACAGGAACAATTTCAGTGTTTTTAAGTGAGAAGAGCTGTGGCAGGACAAATGCTTTTGACATTAATGTTGCTGATACACGGGTTTTCAAACACAGAAAGAACTTGTCCAGGTGTGCCAAATGTTTTTGTCTTCAAGTTTTTATTTAAAAATGGTAACCTTTCAGTTTTTGGTGCAAATCCCCTTCCATTGATTTTCCTTGTTGCTAGCTTCAAAACAGCTGCAAGTGAAACTTATTAAAATGACTATATTCAGCCTCAGATGCAAACTTCTGCAGGATAAAACACGCTTTTAAAGTGCGTGGGTTTTCTTCTTTCACAAAACATGGATCAGTTAAGTTTCAAGCAATTACTGCACAGCTTGGAAAGCATATAGCTTTTAAACTGTGTATCTGTGGCTTGGGAGGCCACGTTATCTCTTTATCTTTACGCAGGCAAAATTAATACACATGTTAAGTACAGAGATGCCATTAGGTGAATTGTTGCAATGTTTGGTCATGAGATGGGAAGAAATTGCAGCCTTCAGGTATTTTGGAGAACAGCATCTCTTTAGATTAAGCAGATCCTTTGTAAATAATTAACCTATTAGCTGTGTTTAAAAGAAGGAGGTGGGAGTTCAGAGGAATTACGTGATTGTGTTCAGAATTATTTCAAACATTGTCGTGGGGGTTTGAGTTCCCTTAAGGTAGCAGTTATATGCAGTTGATAGTGTATATTGAGCAGGTTGATTTCAAAGGATTCAGAGAGATTCTTCTGAACTGATGCTTAAATGATGTCAGTAATGTCTAATCCTTTTACATCTTGGCTTTTAACTTCCCAGTGAATGTTTGAGCAATCAGTGTCCCTTTTTTCTTGGTTGTAGTGGGTTTCTCACGTTTCTTTAACCCTTTGCTGTTACTTCAGTATTCTTCATTTTAACGTGTTCTTCAACTTTGATCTCCTAACTTCACATACTGCCAGATTGTTACCTCCCCTATTGTAATATTCTCCCATCCTCTCCAGCAGCTTTCTTTTAACTATCCTACAGGCAGATAGTTAAAGGAAGGAGCTGTAATGAGCAGTGTGGATTTTATGCTTTCTGTACTTCTGTGTCCATGGGGATGGACTTTGGCATAGTCTGCTATCTTTTTGGTAGCTCATAGTTCTGCCATCAGTGGGACCATGGTTATGATCAGAAAGGTGCCTGACTGGCAATACTTATGATTTGGCTTGCTTTAATCATACGGAGGGTTACAAGAGCCATGCCAACACACTCTCCACACCCAAAAAAAAATGCCCAGGTTTACATATCACCTGTGTTTTGGGTCATGAAATGGGAGTGTATTTTGTATGACTGTGTCTGGAGCTCTTTACTTCTTAGGTCTAGGTCCCAGAAGAGAGCACGAAGAGTGACATGGCAGTATTCTGGGTTCAGTTTCTGTCCTTGGTATCAGCAGCGCTATTTTTGTCCCATATGGTGATCTGCTTGATACTCTTTCAAACTTAAAAATTTGAAGGCTTTTTTGCCCATACGTGCTGGCTTTTTTTGAATGTTTTGAAGACTTTCTTACTACCCTTTTGAAGTGGACGTTTCTTTGAAGGAAGAATGAAACTCTTGGAAAAAGATGCTTTTTGTTAACTGCTTTGCTTCCTGGCAGGGCTCAGCTTCCAAAGTTCAGATGCTGACTAGCTTGTAACAGGCTTTGCCCAGCACGGCTGATAGCTGCTCCAGGCGTGGTGGCTCCATCTCGGGTGTACGTACCACGTCTAACCTTTCTTCTCAAAGGCTGGAGTGCAGATAATGGGTTTTCGAGTCCCATCTGCCAGCTTAACCTGCGCCATATCACTTCTGACCCAGAGAAAGTGCCAGCAGTGTAATCAGAGCTGTAAAAAAAAAAAAAAAAACAACTGCCAGACTTTTCCCTAGCAGAGGCTAGAGCTGAGAAGGCTCTGGAATTCAGAGAAAGGGAAGCGCTGAGTGTGTGTGCAACCCCAGCAGACCTGCCACTGTCCCTGATGTACGTCTCGTGGACAAAGCTCAGTGCAGCACGTGCGAGGCTCCAGTTACACGCAGCAGTCATACAAGTGAGAGCCTCAGAGTTGGTGTGTATGGAAGTGTCAGCTAAGCTCCATACGGCTTCAAAGGCTGCAGTCATAACATACCTATTAGGGAGAGATAAGTACACACCAGTCCTGAAACTGCCGTGGGTATTTGAACCCTATAAAAAGTACACCTTATAATCAGAACACAAGATCTAGATGTGTTTTCTCTATTGAAATGATTCCCAATTATTGTGTTTCAACCTGGAGTCCTGTTGTTTCGAAGCAGGCTTGCTCTCATTTTCCTTTCTGAACTGCATTTTCACTTGCATTGTGTAGGGGGACATCGTTCTGTCTGCAGAGAGCAACTCCAAGGAAAATTGTAGAGGGCATCCGCTTCTTGTTTTCTTTCCTCCAGCACCTAATCTAGCTTACAGAGTGGTGAGATAGGTCATGAGAAAACTCCAGCACCTTCAGAAATGTACCATCTTCCAGGATCTGTGATGGGAAAACTGGCTGACTGGCCTTTTGGTTTTTTTTTTTTTTTTTTTGAGTTCACCTTATTTCAAGAACAAAGGCCAAGGTGAAGAGCAGTATCACAATCTCTGCTTGATACAAGTGATCCTCATTACAATATTTACTAGTGCTTTCAGTTGCCTGTGATGGTGGTTTTGTGGTCCTGTAACTGGAGGAGGAATGCTTGCTTAGGTTGCACCAGCGGAGGGGCCTTGAAATGTCCTTGTGATCCCCATCACCCCTAGCACCCATGGTGCTGCTGAGGCACCTTGATGTGTTTTGAGTTCAGAGTCAATTGGATAAAGGTCACAGCCATGTACTCTTTGTTTGGAAGAATAAAGCTGCTCTAGAGGATGGAGCTGTTAAAAATAATAATGTATTGGCATTACTTGCATGAATGTCTCCATTGAGAGTCACGCTGACTAAAACACTGCTGGACTACAATTACCATAGGTAAGTAATAATTTTTCAGTAAAATAACTGACATTTTAGTGAGCGACATTATATATCTGCAACAAAACATTTTTTGTCACCTCCAGCTATAATTTTAAATCATAAAGGTGATGGGTATACATAATTTTCCCATATGTTGATGTACATGTTCCAAGGTGTGACAGATGTTGAGAGTGCCTCAGAGACTTCTCTTGAACTTTTGTCTGTTTTTCTTTTTCAGATGTGCTGAAAGACATTATGACACCGCCAAATTTAACTGCAGAGGTATGTTTTTACTGCCTAGTATGTGCTCTTCTCTTTCAAGTTCAGTGCTTCTGAAGGAAGATAAAAAGGAGGAGCTGATGAATAGTAATGCAGATTCGGGCAGAAGGAATGATGTCAGATTCCTTTGAGTCATTCGGGAAACTTGCAATATTCTTGAAGCTTTCAAAAACCCGTGTTCCTGGCAGTTAACTAGGTCAAGATCTAATAAGGCAGTCGGAAGTCTACTCTTGCAAAAATTTTTGCAGAATGGGTAATATAGAAGTTTTTGCTCAATTTAGTGTGCAAACTTACTGCAAAGTTTATATGTGAAGCTTAGAGAAGTCTACTTCTTATGCAGAAGCATCACTTAAAATAGAATGCTTAAACCACTGTTGCTATTAATCTAAAAAAACTTTTGAAAATCTGGAACAAACCTTAGGTTGCTTTAAAAAAAAGAAACAAACCAAAACCGTAAAAATTGATTCCCATGTGATGCCTCTTTGAGATGAGTTGGTTCTTAGACACTGCAGAACTACCAGGACCTTTTAAGGGAAACTTTTAGGGTCTCCTTTTGATCAGACCCTTGGTGAATAGAAACTGATACACCTGTGTTGTCAGCATTAACTCTCTAGGTAATGAATAAGTACAGGTTTACCTTTATTCTTTGTGCAGAGGGACATCTCTGCCTGCAGTAGTAGAGGTTGTGGTTCTTCTTCATGCAGTGCTTCAGAATGACTGGGTAGATAGAGAATACTTGCATGTATGTAATTGTGGCAGATGAATAAATTTTTGCCTTATTGGCTCTAATATTAGATCATAGCAAGGGCTCAACTTTTTTTTTAAAATTATTATTTTAAACCATCCTTCTAGTTATAAAGAGAATGTTTAGACCGTGACCAAAATGTAATCGTCTGCTTCAGTGTCTGAATATAGAAAGACTGAAATTGTCATGCTGAAGTCACCTTTACTTTTGATTTGCTCTTACGATGTTGAATGACAGTGTCCTGAAATCTACAGGGGAAAAAAAAGTATTTTAAGATCTGCTTGAGCAAAACTTTGGGTAAGAGGAGAAGAGGCATAAATGAGAAGAATGTGCTTCTAATGTGTCCAGAACATATGCTTGAATTTGATTTTTATTATGGGGTGCTCAGAACCCTTCACTCTCAATCTCAGCCCAAAATGTTGCTTGTGACAGCACCTTTCACAGCTCCTCTGTGTAAGACCACACTGTTGTAGGGCACTGCGTGTTGCACTTTTCTATTTGTCCTCAAATTAGCTACCTTAGATAACCAAATTGGTGACTTAGGACTTTCCTTAACAGAGGTTCAACAGTTCTACTCTAAAATTAGAGAATCATAGTGGTATGGGTTGGAAGGGACCTTTAAGGTCATTTCATCCCAACCCCTCTGCCATGGGCAAGGACACCTCCAACTAAACCATGTTGCTTTAAGTCCCATCCTACCTGGCTTTAACACTTCCAGTGATTTAGCATTCTCAGTTTCCCTGGGCAGCCTGTTCCAGTGTCTCACCATCATCACAGTGAAGAATTCTTTTGTTATAGCTGATCTAGATTTTGAGTGGATATAAGGATATTTTTAAAAATCAAATTCAAATTAGATACATGGATATTTTCAGAATCTTCTGAAGTGAATTAGTTTCAAAGGGAATTTCTTAGTTGTACACTTAGCATGAAACACCATAGTAGTTGATTATTCAACTTGGATGCTCTTGCATCAAACTCAGAACCAAACATCAAAAGCTCTTCGTCTTACATGGATGATAGCTTTCTTTCTAAGGCTGTTGCATTTTCTAAAGACTTCCATGCTGCAGATTGCCTTTTGCCTTGCCAAAGACTTTGCTTTTTATTTGTTTTTAATCTCTATATCCTGTGGGATTTCCATGACGTTTCTAGGAGCTTGGAGAGAGTTATCAGAACCATTCTTCTTGCTATGTGGTCCAGTGTTAGGAACCAAAATCCGTGGAGGATCTGCACCCTCTCAAGGACCTGCTCAAGATCGTGCAGCTAATGTTTCCTAAGGTTGCTTTCTGGCCCTTAGTCCCTCTGCATGGTCACAGGGCACCTCGTTCCATTTTGAAGAAAATACCTCAAGGTTTGCCTTTAGTCCCAAATCTTGGAGAGCACCTTCAGCATGCTGGTACTACTTGAGATTTTTCAGGACTACTTGAGTCTCTCTTTTTCACAGGAACCCTACTGGATATAATTAAGATAGACTGGAAATTGTAGAGGAAATTTGCAGCATCTCTTAGCAGCTTTTCTGAGGTGTTTCTAAATAAATTTCTTCTTTCATTTACATTCTCCTGCAAAAAATGACATCTCTATAAATAAAACAGTCATTTGAAGAGTCTTTGGATCTTCTGTGTGGAGGAATTTATTAGTGTGTGTGTTTATGCTTGTTAACCTTTGCTGCTTCTTTAGCAAAGATTAGTCACTTTATCAGGTTTCCCTGTTTGGTCTGCTGGGAGGTGAAGTGGGCAGTCTGTACTGTAAGCAAACAATAAACTGTCCTTGCGGATCCCTGCAAAAGGCTCCGGACTTGTGCTGCGGTAGTTCAGCAGTTCCATAACTTCATCCCGTGCTTCTGCTCCTTAAGCCCTTGGGGATTCATCAAAAGGAGCCTTGTGTGTGTGACAAGAGAGTAGTGCTTACAAAAAGAATCCAAACACTTGCCAAAAAATGAAATGTACTCATTTTTAGACCAGAAAAGGAAATGGTGTTTCTAGCTGTGAATTTTTAAGTGTACCAGAGTTGTATTTATAAGATCTCAAGTCTCTTGGTGGAGAACTGAGGTGCAGTTCTAAAGTGTTCTGTGTGATTGTGCCAGTCAGCATGGCGTTGTTGTCATCTTACCTGAGCTGTTATAGGTCTGGGTCCTTTCTCTGCTTATTGCTTATTTTTTTTGCTCTCTTGAGTTTTCTTTCATTTCCAGCCTGCTCTCTTGAAATTCTTTCCGTCTCTAGATGGAAAACAGTGTTTGTGGGCATGTTTATGTCCATATAAGAAAAAAGACAACTTTGTTAGGTGCTTTAAGTATTGACCATAAGTATTGCAAGTGCCTTACATAAGACTTGCTTTTGATTACCATTTTTTAGTTTCAGAACCCCTTTGAGCAAATTCTGAGAGTTTGTTCCCACCATACATCCAACTGTGCTCAGAATTTTTTCAGCAAAATTCTTGTTGTCTGATCAGTGATTGAGATCTGGCCCTTTTGTCTCTCAGTAGGTATTCTAATTACTCTTAGAGTAATGGGTTTTCACAAGGTTATTCTTTATGCCAATTCACTCTTGAGTTCTAAAAAAAATCGTGCCATACAGTCTGTGCCACTCATTTCAGTAGTGGTGTGAAGCTGTCACTTTATGTAGCAGGATGCTTGCTATTACTAGAGAAACGTCTGCAATCATCTAATATGTGGTACATTGCTGAATAATAATTGGAATAAAAACATTTACATACAGATATGTAAGAACAGGGTTACTTCCAAAATTACTGGGTTTGCATATTTGTCACAGAGTTGACCTGTCTAGGTGAGCTTGCTGTAGTTTTGTTCTGAGATGTTGATAAATTACTTCTTGTTGCAGTTGCACAGTACCCTTTTGAAGACCATAACCCACCACAGCTAGAGCTTATCAAACCTTTTTGTGAAGATCTTGACCAATGGCTAAGTGAAGATGACAATCATGTTGCAGCAATCCACTGTAAAGCTGGAAAGGGACGAACTGGTGTAATGATATGTGCATATTTGTTGCATCGAGGCAAGTTTTTAAAGGCCCAAGAAGCCCTAGATTTCTATGGGGAAGTGAGGACCAGAGACAAGAAGGTGAGCTATTTTCTGTTCTTCTGTTGTCCTAGCTGTATCTTTATGTTTTTCCTGCTCGAGATCAATTTGAATAGTCAAGCCTTTAAAGAAATACTTCCATCAGTTGTGATACCTGGTTTGATTTGGCGTTAACATTGTTGGATCGGTGCAGTTGTTCTAAATGAAAAAGCTTCCCTAAGCATAAGTAGCAATTAGTCACACCACTAAAACAGTCTAGTTTTTCCATCTCCTGTTCAAGAAGATATGGACAGTTTTATATAGCCTTTTAAATAGCGTTCTGCTGTGTGTTGCATCAAATGGGTGGCTGATGAGTGAGCTTTCTTGTTCAGCATTTTCAGCCCAAATAAGAGGATTATTCTAGCTTGTTTTGCTTGAATGGGTGAGTTGTTCATCTCCTCAGGTTCTCTTAACTTTGATGGCAGTGTTTGGAGATGTGTAGTCATCGCAGTGCATGTTACAGTTGAATACCCCTACTGGAAGAGTACACTGGAAGAGTCTGTTGTTGGATGCCCCTTGTCAATAAAAGGATAGTTAAGCCTAGATATGGGCTGCCTCAGAGCCTGTTTCATGAGGTGCTGCCATTTAGCTTCTTTTACTTCTGAGGAGAAATGATGTTCATGGCTACTACAAGAGTGTTCTGTTAAGATAGTGTCAGTAGTACAGACAGAATTAGCAGTAACTGTATGTTGGACCTTTCTGCTATGGGTATACCTCATTAATGGGAATTTAACCTCCTTATTTGAACTTTTTTTCCAAATATAATAAGGTGTGACTTGCAAGGTCACTTCAGCAAGCTTCCCTGCTCGCCTTCCATCGTTTCCTTGTGTGTATTGGTAGAGCAGCCCAGGGGGGTCATCCCAGCAGGCCAGTTTCAGCCTAGTCAAGTACAGAGCTCTCTGTGTTCCTGTTGTATTTGCATGAAGTATTAATTTCGTGGTGTGTAAACCTCTAATAAGCAGAGCTTCATGTTTGAAGGCTCTTGTGAGCAGAAATGTCACATAAGGAATTTTAGCGTTTGGCTGTTGTTTCCTTGGAAGGAGCAAATAACTTCCTAGCTCTCTTTACAAGATGGAGCAGTTACTCCACAAACTGCTGAGAAGACAGTTGTGGTGTAATACTAGAGTGGAGACAGTGTCAAGGTTTCCCATGAAAACTTTGTGGCTTTTGGAAATGAGTTGTGTAATGAGTAAACAGTGTAGATTATTTGTGCTGATAAGGATTATCTAAAGAGCCAGGTAAAATACCACAAAAAGCTACAAAACTTAACAAATACACGGTGAAGCATGTTGTATGATCTCTTCCCTGTTGTAGGAAGAGGGGAATGTTTCTGCATGTTAGTGTGTTGAGGGCAAGGTCACTTACCCCAACAGAACCCCAGTGGTACCTCTGGCGTGTTTGAGGTAATGGAGAACTTCATAAACAGGAATACTAAGAGCCTTGTTTAGCTTCACTGTAAATATTGTCTGTAACCAGTAACTTTGTTTTTGCTTCGATGTCTCTACTGGAAGAGCTGATACTTTATTTTTTTTTTCCCAACTCCACTTGAGCACAGTTATCTTTCTGTGGACCTTGGGCAGCATGTGATTCACATAATACTTAAAGTAGCGTTTATAAACAGGTATTCCAGGGCAGGTTCTGGGAACTTTTTCTTCCCTTGTGGCCTGTATTTCAGTGTTCTATGTCAAGTGCTTCTCTCTGATTTGACACTTCACCACACCTTTATATGACTTCCTGAATTCGAATGAGGCATCAAAAGAGCTGTTTTCACCTAGGGACAATAAAATATCTAGGTTGGCTTGTTGTGGTTTTTTTGTTGCTTCTAGACCAGCATATGTATGACGAAGGAAAACTCACTTTAATTACATACCAAATTTTCCTTGTTTTAAGCAAGCACGAGGTGCACACCCTCTGGCTGCTCAGAATACTATAGCTGAAATCACTACTGCCATTAATGTGCATGGCAAAGTGACTCTCAAGAGAATCTTGAGAACCTAGTCCATGCCGGCAGGAAGTGTGAGTCTAATTGCAAGAGGAAGTATGACTAATTGGTCAAGAGAACAACCTCAAGTACTTCTATACCTAGTTTTTCTCAAGTGCCTGCTGGGAGAAGAAGCTTCATGGAAGCCTTGCAACATTAAGTGAGAGGAGCTGTAGGTGAGGCTGACAGTCACTGGTTGATCTGTCATCCTGAGGAAGGTAGCAGGGAATAAGACATTGCAGATCTGAGTCTAAAAGTATGTCTCCGACCAAAACCTATAGATTTGGGGCTTTTTCTCTATAAGCTGTTCCTTTTGACTTTTGTAACTCGCCATAGTGGGGTGAACATTTTCTAATCTTCATCATGTCCTTCTGAAAGTGTTGGTTAAATGGTTGTCTATCAGTCATCACCACTTTAGTAGAACAGGACTGACTTTTTTTTTCTCTTTGAACCAAAGCAGACAAACTGTTTTCTGAACTTGGGTAAAGAACTGTAATTCTCTAGCCTGATTTCAGAGCTGGGGAGAAGTAAATCACCAAAGTCTTCTGAAAAAGCTGCTGTTTCCCCTGTTTGAAAAGGCTAGCTTATAGCCTGTTTTTATCTTAAGATGGACACCGAAATACTACTGTGGTGACAGAGAGTGGCAGCTTACCTTTCTACAGCTTGAGAAAGTCCTTATTTATTCCTCCTTCTGCTTGGAAGGATTCTGTGGTAAGGATTAGAGTTGGAAGGAAGCAGAGACTACTCAGTGGATAGGTGTCAGCTGGGAACAGCTATTGCAGTGCTTAAGCCAGAGATGATCCAGTCAGGAGCATTCATTGACTGTCATACTGTTGTGTTTTTGGGAATGCTTCCTAGTAGAGGTGTAACTGAACAGGAAATGGAAACCGGTTATTTTGTGGGAGGAAGTTTCAGGATGACTCTTTGAGCAGGGTAGCACCCCGTGTCTCAGGTGTCAGTTGTGATGCCCATTTGGACAGTGTGCTCAGGTGACAACCTCTGCCAAACTCGATACCGTAAGCCTGGCCTGAGGCTGCAGCTTTAGCTGTGCTCTCACCGTAGGGCACGTTATTAACCTGGATGTGGGAGTACTACTTCCAAACTTGTTCATTCTTCGTAGTACTGCATGTGCTACCTTGAGAGGAGAACCAGGAGTAGCACCTGACAAATTTTGTGATGCTAACGAAGCTCAGCAGTGCCCTGTGAAACTCTGGCATAGAGACTAGAGAAGCTTATCTCATGTCCATTTAAAAAGTTATGATGATGGTGATAGATGGGAAATGTAAGCTTCTTGAGGAGATACTTAAACTGCTTCCCTGTTCTTTAGTCGTCCTGAGTAAAAGTAAGTGAGCATTGATTGTACCTCTTGGAATATTAGCTTGTTATGAAAGCCTCCTGCTTTGAAATCAGACCTTTGGAAAATGGAGAACTTTCTGTTCTGCTACAGTGTGGCTGGTTCTTAAGATCTCAGGGTAAAGGCTCTGTGTCAGGTGAATAAAAATCTCTAGCTGGAGCACTAAAAGTGCTCCTTTTGGCTGAGAACTGGTTTTGCATTGAGATCAACTGTCACTTAATGTAGCTGCAAAAGTGACTGTTCCTTTTGTTCTGGTCCCAGCCCTGGTTGTCCTGATGAGGTGTACTGAGGTTTCTCTGTGGGGCACATCCTTTATGGCATGAAGAAGCTATGAGCAGAGAGATTTTCCTTACCTGCGTGGTTTTCTTCTGATTTGCCATGTTGGTAATTACTGGTGGTTTGCTTTGAGGCTGGTATTTTCTTGGTTGTAAAGCTCAGGTCTGAGGAAAACAAACTTGAAAGCTCTCTTAAGAGATGGGTCTGGTAATTACTGAGATGACATCTGAACCAAAAACATGGTCAGTGTAGAAGGCTACTTAAGAAGGGCATCGTACAGGTGCTGTAGGGAA